TGGTGATAGACACCCTCAACAGGTTGTTGGACAAGTCTAGGAGCTTGGGTTGCTCCGCTGCCTACCGCCTCGGGACTTGACAGCGACTATCTCACTGTACGCTGGTTTAAGGTGTGCATGCCACTTCGCTTAGGAGGCTTGGGTATACCGGGCCTCGGTAGGGCAGCGACTAGTCTTAGGCGATCATCTTCGACAAGGCTCGGCTCAGTTTAGTTAGCCTCCTATCAAATCGAAAGCTAGGCAATGGGCAAGGGCGGGTGTGAGAGGGTGTGCCGCCATCTCGTAGTTTGTTCAGAGGGTGCGTTTGGAGCGAACACTTTAGGATTCGTGGGTGGGATCTGACGTGCACGAGGGCGTTTGCTCGGAATTCTTGAAAATCTGACGTCAGTTTTAACATTTAGGAAAAAGAAAACTGTAAGGATAACTTGAAGCATTCTCTGTTTTTCTTCGCTCCCCCTCACAACTGTGTCCTACGGTGCATCTAAGTGCACACCTTTGCTATTAATAAGATGTTATATCTCTCCAAAATTTCCTCTATTTAGTACTCCCTCCGTCCGGAAATACTTGTCGGAGAAATGGATACAAATGGATGTATGTAGAACTAAAATACATCTAGATTCATCCATTCCTCAGACAAATATTTCCGGACGGAGGGAGTACCAATTTTGAAAAGCTAGTTCCAATTGCTTTACATACGCAGCAGTGTGCTGCTGCTCCTTTTGAACTTTCAAGATCCCATACCATTTCTTCCAAAAAAGTGTTGCTGAGTGCAGCTGACTGCGCTTACGCTATTTGTATAATTTAGGTAGTTCCACATCAAAAAGTTAATTGCTCTTGCGCCATGTAATGTTAACCATGTGCTATTTTCCCTCCTATCAGATTCAAGCAGTACTCAAGAAGTACGACGTCTTGTTAATAGCAGATGAGGTAACCTAAGTTTATGAGGTAAAAAGAGAGTAAAATAATTTCTTGGTGCAAAATTTATGTAATTAGCCCTTCAGGTCATTACTGCATTTGGGAGATTGGGAACCATGTTTGGATGTGATATGTATAATATTCAACCAGATCTCGTCTCCATAGCAAAGGTGAGTTGCTGAGGCCAGTCAGTACCAGTAAAATACCTAATTGTTGGATGGTAACTTCCTGTCTTCAGAGAGACTGATTAATATTTTCTTTTGTACTATTCTTATTTTTTAATCTGCCAGGCTCTTTCTTCGGCCTACATGCCAATTGCAGCTATTCTTGTTAGCCCAGAAATAGCAGATGTAGTTCATTCGCAGAGCAGTAAACTTGGTAAAGCTAATTCTATTGCAGGAACTCATCTTTTCTCTTGCTACTGTATTCACAAGCACTTCTATTGTTTGTTACAGGTTCTTTTGCTCATGGCTTTACATACTCCGGGCATCCAGTTGCCTGTGCTGTTGCCATAGAAGCTCTGAAGATCTACAAGTAAACCACTCCTCCCATAATAGTACTGAACAATCCATTTATGTTGATATATGTGTCTGATGAATCGTTTCCATAATTCCTATTAGGGAAAGGAATATTACCGAACATGTCAACACAATTGCCACAAGGTTCCAAGAAGGAATCAAGGCCTTCTCAGGCAGTCCGATCATCGGAGAGGTAGTTATTATGTAGTTTAAGTTTCTTTCTTTTATGACTATTTACTTGTTCCTTTGTTGTTTAAAAACATAATGTCTGCACTCCTCTACACAGATACGTGGCCTGGGATTGATACTTGGAACTGAATTTGCCGACAACAAGTCGCCAAATGATCCATTCCCTGCAGAATGGGGTTTGTACTTTATACCTTTTGTTCTTTATTTTTTAGCAGGATTTACTAGCATGGAAATTCCTAGTCACTAGCAATTTTTTCTCTGCAGTCCATGCTAGGGAAATTTGTTTATTTACCACCAGTGTAATGTAACTGTTGAGTTTTTAGGCAAGTTAGGAACTATAAAGCTAGAAGTTGGAATGTTAAACTACCTAGTTTTTTTTTCTGAGCCAAGACAATTAAATGAATTAACCATCTGTGGGACATCACTAAACTAGTAACAGTACTTTTTTTAGATGAACTACTAGTAATAGTACTTATCAGCAGCCAACACGAAAAAAGGGGGATACCAATCAGTTGAGGTTAGGACTTGAACAACTTATCTTCCGAGTTAAGAGTAACTTGCACAGAAATAAACCATCTCAAGAGTAAAAGAAGCCTTAAAAATGACATGGACAACTGAGTTTCTTATGGTTTGATGATTTCAGGGGTTGGTTCAATATTTGGTGCCGAGTGTGAGAAGCGTGGGATGCTTATCAGGGTCGCTGGGGATAACATCATGCTATCACCTCCACTAATAATGACTCCCGATGAAGTTGAAGAAGTAAGATCAGACTCTTTGCAATATGCAATCTTTCTCTTTGGAATCAAACACAAACTGACTGAAAATTGTTCAAACCATGGCTCTGCTTTAGATTGTGAGCAAATATGGCGGCGCCCTAAAGGCCACAGAGGAAAGAATTGAGGAGCTTAAATCAGCCAAGAGGTGAACAATTCCAATTTGCTGAAAGCCTCTAGCAATGATTGGTGATGATGGTGACGACAATGTACAGTTACTTGAACAATTAGGTGCCAATAATAGCACATTGAAAGCCTGAAAATTGATCTTGATGTGGAAATGTCAGTTCTTATTTACCATCTCCAGTCACAGAATAGGCACGTTTGTGACCGGAGGGAAGGGCTGCAGTGTTTTTCCAACTATTATGGCAACTCTTTGGTGTCTTTCTTCAGCGTCTTGTTTGATAAAAAATAACTTGGTAGTGTTGCACTTCCTGAATTAAATTAATCCGCTAAGCTAAATATAGTCAAGTCCTACAAAAGAACTGATGTTAAGAAAATAAATACTCCCTCTGTCTCAAAATAACTGTCTCAACTTTGTACCAGCTCTAGTACAAATTTGTACTAAGCTCAAGACGCTTATTTTGGGACTGAGGGAGTAGTGGACAGTCCAATGTACGCTTGTGCCACATGTTGACAGTCGGAAGTTCCATGTGTGAATTCAATACATCATATTACAATATTCTACTCCCTCCGTTCTAAAATAGATGACTCAACTTTGTACTAGCTTTAGTACAAAGTTGGGTCATCTATTTTGGAACGGAGGGAGTATGTTTAAACCTAATGGTTAGGTAGGTCATATCGTCTGTTTAAAAACAAAATACTCTTTTCTTAGGGCTTTCCGAAATGAAATACTGAAAAACATGGCCACGTGGGACACACAGGAACTGTATGAAGCTAGATGTCATGCCATGTTGAATCCTATATAATCCAGGGGCATTTTTTCTTTGGCTCTTATCTTTTTTTGTTCAGTTTTCTTGTGGTTTCTGTTTTTTCTTTATTTTTCAATAAATTCAAATAAAATACAAACCAAATTCAAAAAATGTGAAAATTTTACTATGAAATACCCTTCTAGGTGCTTGTATATTTTTGCCCTGAGATGAGATCCGAGGAGCTTGCTACCAAAAAAACCGGAGCTCAAATTTTGTTGCAGCTTTGGACATTTTTTTAGCTCTGTTTCTTTTACCAAGCTCATCGGATATCATTTCAGCACCTAGAAGAATCTCTCATCTTTGGTCCGTAAAAATTTCAGACTTTTTAAATCTATTTGTTTTTTTATTTACTGTTCACTTGGGTGCAGATCCTCTCCTAAATATCTTCACTTTTATCAATGCATCGAGATTTTTTTAAAGCTTTGTCTCTCTCTTTTGTTTGCTTTTCTGATCACAAGACTTCTCAGATAATCGGCCACGGAGGTAACATACGTCGCTTGCACCACAATAATTCTAGCGGGTGCACCAAAATTAAAGACATGGAGATAGACAGGCAAACAAGAGGGATCGAATTATGACCTCACACAAAGAAACGATTGGTGTCATCATTTGCACCACACAACGCCAAAAACCCATTCTTGGCAACAAATGGATAGTAGGAAAAACAGAGTGTGGTCATCTCCAAGACAATGAGACGATCCTACGGCATGCCAAGTCCCTCAAAATGTTATAGATCAAATACAACACGCTCTCTACTCATGTTAGTTCACAAATGTTGCGCACCACTGCAATGTGCAGTCCACAGATCATTACCCGTTGCCGCTGACCTTCTATTACTCCATCTGCTTCACGAACTCGGCGAACGCGGCACACGACGAGCCACCTTCCTTCCACGCCGCCGCGGCGCTCTCCTTCACCGCCATGGCCCGTTCAACGACCGCTCGCCGACCTTCCGACTCCATGTCCATGATCTGCCTAACCGTGGCATCGACGTTCTCGGCCGTGACAAGCACCCCGGGTTTGTTATACCCTTTCACCGCCACGCCAACCTTCATCTCCTCGACAATGTACACCTTGTTCATCCACTGCTCGGCTTCCAGAGGCCAGCACACCATCGGCACGCCGGTGGCCGCTGCCTCCAGCGTCGAGTTCCACCCACAGTGCGTTATGAAGGTACCAGTGGACGCGTGACGCAACACGTCCATCTGTGGCACCCAGGACGCGGTCACCACGAGGCCCCTACCCGCCGTCCGGGCCAAGAACCCCTCGGGGAGGAGAGACAACGTCGCATCCGGCTCGCCCGCGGCTGCGGCGAAGGCAGGAGGCGCACGCAGCACCCACAAGAACCTGTGCGCGGACATCTCGAGCCCCTTGGACATCTCCCTGATCTGCTCCAGCGAGGCCGTGCACCGGCTGCCGAAGCAGATGTACACGACGCTGCCCTCGGGCTGCGCGTCCAGCCACCGGAGGCATGGGTGCCTCTCCTCCTCCTCCTCTGCGTCGCCCTCCGCGATCAACGGGCCTACGCAGTAGACCCGCGGGGCGGCAGGGCCGCGGAGGCAGCGCCCGTCTCTAATCGCCGCCACCGCCGAGCCCTCCAGCGCCTCGAAGGTGTTCACCAGAATGCCGCGCGCTGCCGCCATCCGACCGAATACGTCCAGCACAGCCGCGTACAGGTCCGTACCGCTGTCGAGCACCGCGTCGACCAAGTGAGACGCCGGCATCGTGGGCACGCCGGGGAACGACACGGGCGCGTCGCCGAGATCTTTCACGTTTCCGCCGCTCCCGGAGCAAAATGAAGGCAGCTCGAGGAAGACACTAAGGTTGGCGGCGCCTGTGCAGTAGAAGAGGTGCCCTGGGACGCCGACCTCCGCGGCGACGTCGAGGAGGCAAGCGGCGAACATGTCGGCCACGAGCGCGTGGACTGCGGGGAGGCTGCGGAGCAAGTCTCGCAGGCCGGGCGCCTGGGAGCGGAAGGCGGCCTGCATGCGGATGAACGGGTGCGCGGCGTCGACGGAGTGGTGGTGGGCGGGAGGGAGAGGGAGGGAGTGGACGGAGAGGGAGGGGAGCCGGGAGGCGTACCGGCCGATGGTGGAGCGGAAAGCCGGGGAGGTAAGGGTTGGGTCCGGGACGGCGACGGTGACGGCAAGGCCACGACGGAGACAGACCGCGGCGAACTCCATCATAGGCGTGAGGTGGCTTATGCTCTGGCCGGGGATGAGGACCACCCTCCTCGCCGTCGCCATTGGAGGGTTCTTCTTCTGGTTTTGTTTTGCTTTGGTTTGTGGCCTGTGAATTTCGGGTTTGGACGTGGACCAGCCGAAAGTGCGAAGCCTTGTGTAGCTTCTAGGCGGCTGTCTTATCAGTACTACTAGTAGCCTAGTAGGTGCACTTTGGCCGCGCTAGGCGCCAGCCGGCCGGCCAGCCCAAATTTCTGCGGGTCGGCTGCGTAGCGTTAGATCGAGCGGGGATGAAGGGCCCTGATTATCGCATGGGCTAGGGTGTCGTCTTCCTCCCACCCCCAAACCCACGCCCCCCTCCCCACACGCTTCAAAAATAAAGGACGATGGCCGCGCTCTGGCCGGGGCGTGCCCTGTTTGGATACTCTAACACAATTAGAGTTAGAGTTATTTTCTAATTCATTCTAACCTAAATAAGCATCGATTCACCGGGATAGTTGGGTTAGATGGAACTAATCCACTCTAACCCTTCTTGTTTGGATGCTTTTGGGTTATTTGAGCCTTCAACTAACCCAAACTAGTTCTAACCGCGTGATCCAAACATATCCTCTAACTTGCACTCTGACTTGCACAAGGCAAGTTAGAGAGCTACAGTATCATCTTGTGTAAAATGGTGAAGGGAAGTTAGAGAACGAGCACTGCTTAAAAAATAATGTTCTTCGCATATTACTGTACGTAATCACTGTTCTTAAATCATTGTGTTAGGCTGCAAATTACAGGAATCTAGAGAAGGGAAGTCAGGCTACTGTAGCTTACCTGACTTCCCTTCCTATGTTAGAGCATCTGGATCCCAGCTATATGCAGTTCTGCTGCTGACCATTTAGCTCCGCCGTCGACACGGATGCAGCTCCGCCATTTGTACGACTTCGTCGCCCCTCCCTGTGGTTGTAGCTCCGTCGATTGACGATTGCGACATCCCGTCCCCTAGCTTTGGTCAGTGTTGGGAGTTGTCGCCGTCCGTGTTGTTCCAGCCCAGCGCAAACCGCAAAGAACATGGGGTTGTAGCTTTTTTGCTTTAGCAGTTGCAGCAAAAAGGGAAGAAAACACATTACATGCCCCGTGGTGACCGTGGAGGAAGAAAGCTAGTTCCAAGAAACTGTGACAATGGTTCCAACAAATCACTACGTTGGTTGCAGCGTCTCATTCAATCTTGCGACGACGCTTCCACCAAACGCGGTCCCCGGTTCCAGCAAATCGCCGGTTAAAGCGGCATCCCACGACGCTCCACCGTCGCACCACCGCAGACTCATCATAGCTCTTCAAAATGCTAGTTCCAGCAATTCACGCAGTCGGTTGCGACATTAGTCGGGCCCGCCGTTCGTTGTTCAACTCCCCCGACGCGCCGCTCATCGCGCCAGCACAACATGGTCGTGCACCGTTGCAACTCCCTAATGAAGTCAATACAACTTAGTGGTTAAAGCTCCCTCGCCAGCACATCAACGGCTCGTACTCCGACGGCGTGCAGTAGCAACTCGCTGGCTATAGTTCCAACATCGGCCAGGGACATCGAACGCCAGCGGGTAGCAGCGGGAATGCGAGAGGAGGGAAGATGAAGTTGAGGAAGAAGATAGCAAAGGGATAAAATGGGTTCACGCGCGCTTCTGGCCATAGGATGCCCCCGACCGAACGTCCCGTGCGCGACCGATGCAAGACTCGGCCAATCGGCCGGGGTACAAAGAGCATTTACAACCGAACCTAGCCCTATCCTAAACGTGCAACCCGTAATCGTCCACAGACATTGACTGCTTCCAAGATCGGGTACTTCATTAGCAAATATTCAAATCCATACAATCAAATGCATTGTAAACTTGCATTTACGTATATACATATCGATCCAACACATAGCATCCAGCTACTTTATCATGCATGCCATTGGACTACCAAAAATTGGCATACTCTACGACATTATACGTGCCACCTGACTACCAAAAATTGACATGTTCTACATACTAAAGCTATGGAGAAAGATCATCCATGGCTGCCCTTGCCCTTGCCGTCTTTGTCATGAAAGTAGTGGTCAGAGATGCAAAATGGATTGAGCCAGAGGCGTCCTACCCGTCACAGTTCTGTTGGAGTTGTGTCGAATATTGTGTACAAGGTGGGTTATAGTTGGACTTGTAGTTGTACTATGTTTAGATAGGATACGGAGTCGTGTCCAAGTAGGACACTTGTATCCAAGGCCTCTCTCATATAGCGGGGGTAGACACACGATGTAACCTATGCCAACATAATAGCACCGGAACGCAGGGGAAGCCGGCGGCATGTGCGGTGTCCAGGGCGACCGGATGCGGCATTATGACGGTATCACGTGGAGGAGCGCCCGTAGTCAGGCCCCGGGGAGGTAGCCATATTGGTGAACCTCGTTAACAAATCTCAGTGTCGTGCTCGTGTGATTGCTTGGTCCTCGGATGATCGACGATATGCCTTGGATTTATTCTAACAAGTGGTATCATGAGCAAGGTTCGAAAGAGGCTGCGGTTGTTGATGCAGAGGAAGCACTTCGCAAGACGATCGTTGAGTCAGATTGAGGTGCAAGACTGCTGCGTGGGGCGGATCATGATCAGGGCTGACGCGGTGTTAGCAGTGATCGGAGAAACTCTGGTGCGATTGGATATTTTCGGAGGTGAAGCAATTGGGAATAGTGGCACTTCTTGGCGGATCAAACTAGGCGGCTGCAGCAGATCGATGGAAGCAGCGGGGCATATGCATGCGGCTTGACGGCGATGGAGGAACTAGCGCGTGGCAGAGTAGGCTACAGTTGTGCGTTCAGTTGAGGCCAAGTGCGGGCGTGCAGCTAGAAGCGGCAGAAGCGCAGCCCACGAGCGGTGCCCAAAGCTAGACGCGTGCGGAGCAGGAGGCTGGTTTGACCAGGAGAAGGACATCGTGAGAAGATTTGTTTGGACCAAAAAGGAGATCGAGTCTCCACGCGACACGGAGATAGGCAGGCAAATCAATATGTGGAAAGAGGAAATCCATCGAGCGATACATACTAGCTAGGACATTGGCAAAGCAATTAGTTAGCATACTGAAGTTGAGCCAAGGGAGTACTTCACGTGAAGACCAACTAGCTAGATTGCTAGTAGTAGACAGAGGTTCTGTTTTTATACTTGGGGATCACTGGAAGACTGCTCAGTTATTTTTCACAGGGTCAGCCGTACAAAGGACCATGGCATCAACGGGTACCAGGTTTGAGGTGGAGAAGTTCATGGAACTGAAAACCTTGGGTAATGGCAGACAAAAGTGAAAAAAAATTGTTGGCACAATAGAGATGCTTGAAGGCGTTGCAGGAAGTCATGTCAACTAAGATTGAATTATCAGGTGATGGATGGAGATTCGCGGAAGACGATTTGGGAGCCTCGAGTGTGTCATACAGTCGAACGAGTTTGGCTGGGTCAGACTAGGTAGTCTGACGGATCGACGTGAGTCGGTTGGTACAGAAGACGATGGTGGGATTGGCGACGAAGACATAGGAGCGTGATGCCGATGGTGACCAACTTCTGGACGTGGAAACACGTGGTGCAGGCCCAAAGGGCTTGTGTGGCTTCAACAAGACTATGGCGCGGGGTTGTTTCAAGGTGGTGTACACACGGAGCTTGAAGTCGACGGGGCGTGAGGGTGGACTGATCATCTACCATGAAGTCATGTTGAAGGTGGAGTTGGAGTTTGGAAGACTTCACTTGGTGCTGGATTAAGGGGCTACGGTGTAAGGATCTAGGGAATCGAAGCCTATTCAGCAGGAAAAGCGAGTGACACACAATTCGGAATGGAGCCCACTGGTCTGATGGAAGCGTGAAACTCGTCATCGGTCGGTGATGATCGGTGGTACCCTGCAGTGGGGGTTGAGTGGTGTGGGTCCGCGGCCCTTGAGAATCGACCGAGACAGCGGAGGCTCGACGCGGTAATAGCGGGGAGGTGTGCAGTACGCATGAGACATGGAGACGGGCTAGGGCTCTGGTGGTCATACATGTGGTGAGACAACTGTGAATTTGACTCGGGATGACTACAAGCAATGGTGAAATTCCTTCAAATTTCAGACAGGCGGTCAAGAAAGGAGCGGTGATATTGAGTTCAAGTAACTCTTATGTGTGACACCCAATATGTGAGTTGTTCATTTTCATGCAGGTCAGTGATCAGTGTGTGATGGCGTTGGACTGATACTCTGGAAGTTGGGAGCACAAACTAGAGTAACAAGGAACTTAATTTTGCTCGAGCGTTGACTGTGGTCAAGAAAAGAAGGAACTACAAGTTGCAGGTGGAGTCATATGGAGTCTTTGGAGTAGCAGCGGTGCTCATGGGATAAGCTCAAGTCCAGTGTACATGGAAGTTTGACACACGGACGAATTCAAGGTGGTGGAGAATATTCGCCAAGGTGGAGTTTGTTGGAGTTGTGTCGAATATTGTGTACAAGGTGGGTTATAGTTGGACTTGTAGTAGTACTGTGTTTAGATAGGATACAGAGTCGTGTCCAAGTAGGACACTTGTATCCTAGGCCTCTCTTATATAGCGGGGGTAGACACACGATGTAACCTATGCCAACATAATAGCACCAGAATGCAGGGGAAGCCGGCGGCATGTGCCGGTGTCCAGGGCGCCCGGGTGCGGTATTGTGATGGTGTCACGGGAAGGAGCGCCCGTAGTCAGGCCCCAGGGATGTAGCCATATCGGTGAACCTCGTTAACAAATCTCGGTGTCGTGCTCGTGTGATTGCTTGGTCCTCGGATGATTGATGATATGCCTTGGATTTATTCTAACAGTTCTCCTTCTGCTCTTTGGGGGGGCATTTTGGCATTGCCACGAACCTCCCAGTTTTGTTCCCAGGCGAGGGCGCGCGTCCTCCTCCTTTGCTACTTCTTGAGGATGCGGGCACAGATGGCTTTCTCATCCAAGGCGGTTGATACGTCTCCAACGTATCTATAATTTTTTTATCGTTCCATGCTAGTATATTATCTATTTTGAATGTTTTATATGCATTAATATGTAATTTTATATTATTTTGGGACTAACGT